TTAAATTAATCACACAACTTTAATAATTTTTTTTTTCCATGATCTAACAATATTTCGAAAGCTCCAAGGAAATAAAACAAGAGAAAATTCTTGGAGGCAACATTTTTTATTTTCCCATTTATTATTAATAGCATATCATTTGATTTTCATTTAAGGGTACAGTGGTGTGTTTCATTAATCATTAATAATATTTGAAACAAATATATTAATTATTATCTAATTCACCCACGCTTCGAAATTGTTAAATTATTTTTAATTATTAATTATTGTCTAAATGATGTAAATCAGTAATAACTCAACTAAAGGTCGAAGTCCGAATCTTCACACCGTACGTGTCATGGATTTTAAAAAAAAATCAAAAAAGAAAATATTGATTGAATTATGAGTGAATTTGGCTTATTAGCTCATATTCCATATGATAATACATTTGGATTATTAACTCATATTCCATATGAGAAAGATATTGCCTGATTCAAGGAATGATTATAATAAACTTTTAATTTCCTTTAAAAAAAACATTGAATTTAAATGAAAATGAAAAAAACTGGGAAATTTCTGTTTAAAATGAGATCGACATCAGAGAATGGGAGTAGGAATAAATCTCACCCTCCAACTTAGAATTTTTTTCATTATTTATTAATTTTTTCAATTTTGAATTGTTAATAAAAAATAGTAAATATTTTAGAAAGTTAATTTAAACTAGTATACAATACCATCATAATTACACACTGTTGTCAAAGCGAGCATAACTCATTGTTAATTTACATATATCTAATTACACATCGTGCTAGGTGGCGACGGAGCCAGGATTTGATTTCAGGGGCAAGACTACATATAAATATCATAGAAAATAAATCAAATTTAACGTGGCAATTACGTATATCAATTTTTACATAGAGTTGGGTAAGTGTTCCAATCTTCACTTTAAACATTAAAAAGTAATCTAAAGTTACCTGATTTGCATTTGAAAATTTGTTATTTTCATATGTGTTAAATAAATTATAAATCAGATATAAGGTATGAAATTGATAAGATTTTGACAAAAACGACATCAGAGGTGGCCAAAGCAAGCATAATTCAACGGTAATTTACATATATCTCCAACCAATGAGTTTGATCCTCACCCCCACATGTTGGACTATTTTTTCTTTTTGTTTAAAATTTGTAAGAGTTGTTAATTGTCTGTACACTAGTCAAGTTTGATTTTCATTAAATTAACGACTTTTTGTTTTTTGTTTTTTTACATTATTTCTTTTAAATTAATGGATAAATTAGTGAAAAATCCATTGTAAACAAAAATAGTGAAAATCGAACCAAGTGCTATATATAGAAAAGAACCAATAATTGTAGCTGGCTATAATTATTGATTTTTTGTATTGTCTTGACACTTGTCTCAACATAATTGGATACAACAAAAGAGATAAAAGATTAGCCGACAAGACAAGTCCTTGAGTGACATCTTATCTCTTTGGAATCTACCTTATAAAAAGTAAAGATAAGCGTGGCCAACAGGGGGCGGAAAATTATTACAAATTGACAAATTAAAGTAAAGACAGAAAGTAAAAGGTGATATGACTGTTTTCGGACTGTAAACTTGCTTCAGAAGTTTTGATGAAGTCACCCGACTTCTTCTGATTTAGCGAGGATTGCGGATTCTGTATATCATCATATAGGCTTCTCTGGTGTCTGATTAGGTCGTTCCATCCAGGGTCTTACTCACGGCCTCTTGCCTAAACTGCCAAGGAACACCTTCTATCTTCGACCAGGGTTCCCTTGTGAGATATAGAATCCTTTCGACTGAGTCAATCCTTTACGCTAACTGCGATACCTTGTGGTTGTTTATTCCACATCAGAAGCGTGCCATCTACTTCATCTGAATTTCTTCTGCAATTCCTTCACGAATAAACAGAATGTAAATTAATTTGTTTAAATTTCGTTTAAGATAAGATCATCGTATTCCGATCTTATCATCACTATTAAAAAAATAAGAAAGAAAATTGAACAAAATATAATTGAGGTAGTTTTAGAAAAATAATTACTGAAAAAAATAAGAAAGATAATGAAATTTAAAATATTTAGTACATTTTTTAATAAAACTAAATTTCTTTTAATGAAAATAGCTTAAAAATTAAAAAAWATATATATATATAGAAGAATTTAAAAAATAACTTTTTTTTAATGAAAAAATCTATCACATTTTTTTACAGAGAACAGATCAAATAAATAACTTTTTTGAATAAAAAAAATTATTCCMAATATCACATTTTTTTAGGCAAAAGTATTAAAATAGAGCATGGGACTATTAATCGCATGAAATATGCTAATGGACTAAAGGCATTATTTTGCTAAATTATTAGAATATATTAAATATAACAAAATTTCATAGGCACGTGCCCTCTTGGTCCCTTCCTCAAATCTGTCCCTGCTGCTGTGTTAGGTGATAAAAAACAACGTGACATGTGAACCAATAATTTGAGGTATAAAGTCTGAGATCCATTTTATGAAAATCATTACTCAACCTAAATGATAGCTCCACCCACGAAATACCTTTGCTTGAAATTATAGCTCGATTGCGGAGTACCTCAATCTTAATTTAAGTATGAGCTATATCATAAAACCGCTCAACTATCTTCAACTATCTTTTCGATAAGGTGTCGTGATTTACGGGACGGTCGTAACCATTCGTCGATCACTATTGGAAGCTGAACCTCTATAAATAGAGAGTTTCGCCTCATTATTTAGGTATATGTGACTATCCTTACACTGAGTATAGATCGGACCGTGGCTGACTTAAGTTTCGAAGCTCTTTATTCTCTCTGTGCAGGTTTCCTCGTTCGTTAGCGTCATCCAAGTTCAACCTTGACGAAATTGGTCATTTTTGTGATCAAACAAATGTAATAATAATCTTTTTTCATTAACCTCGATTCCTAGATGGAGGAATAAGACAGATATGAAGATTAATAAAAGAAAACTTAGTTGGATAAAAAAAATGGAGTGCATCTCCAATTCAATCCGGTTCCCTCCTAAATTTAAATTTAAATGACTTTAGAATAGTCATCCAAAATTTTAAATTAAAAAATATATGTATATATTTCAATTAAATAATGTATGATTTTTTTACTAATTTTAAAGTTGGATCTGATTCATTAAACATTACGAAATGAATGAAGAAGAAGGATTCCACTAATGAACATTGAAGATTTGTTTTTGTTAAGAAATATATATTTGTTGAGGCCAAGATAACATTTCTATAATTATTTAAAAAAAACCCCGTATATCATTTTTTTCAATTCAGATTTATGGTATTTTAGAAATATTAAATTAAAGAAATAAAAAAGTTGGCTTTTCCACGATACAAGGAGGAACATGAACATGTGGTCCTCAATTCTCTCATTTTCCAGAGTGGCATTTAGTCAATAACACCTCAATTCCCATCTCCATTTCTCTCTCTCTCTCTCTCTCTCTCTCTCTCTCTCTCTCTCTCTCTCTCTCTCTCTACGTGCATGCCACCATTTTTTTTTAAATTACACTCTGAATTTTCTTAAAAGAAAAAAAAAATCTTCCCTTTTTGAGTGTGACATTGATACAATTTGATTAGGTTGAAAAAGACCCGATTGAATTGCAATTTGGTCTTCGAATTTTTTAGGATTATATCTATTTAGAGTCGAGTTTACTAGTCAATTTGAACATAACTCAACAGTAATTAACATATACTTCTATTTGATAATCTTTTTGTTTTTTATTTTTGAAATTTCGTTAGAACTCATACGTGTTCTTAGGCAAAAAATTTGTGAGATGTAGATATAATTTTTAAAAATAGAAAAAAATGTAATATTATCAAACTAAGTCTTAGTCCTACATACTTTGAAAACCTTCTAAGTTGAAAAAGTACTTTTGGTTCATGGACTTATATTTTAAAGTAATGATTTAGTAAGTGGACTTATATTTTAAAGTAATGATTTAGTAAGTGAATTTTAATTTAGTCTCTATACTCTCAAATTTATAATGATTTAATTTTTGAGTTTTAGTATGCAACAATTTGATTCATGTAGTTTAAGTTTGTAACGATTAAATTTTTATCATTTAAAAAAATTGTTAAAGCTTAGTGGGGTTTCCACATAGATCAATAAACTTAGGAAGAACCAAATGTTATTATAAATTACAAAAAATAAATTGTTATATAATAAAAATCGATATTTATTTTTTAATGAGATTTTCGCTGTAGAAACTAAATTGTTATAAATTTTAAACTATAGGAACTAAATTGTGCATACTAAAGTTGAGGAACTAATTGTTCCAAATCTAAATGTATATAGACTAAATCATTACAAACTAAAATTCAAAGACTAAATCGTTACTTCGCTCTAGTACGATTTCAATATTTATAAGATTCCATCTCAAAATCAATAAGCGTAGCTTCATGTATTTTATAAATCTTGTTAGGTCCAAGATTAAACGAACAAAGTTAACAATAAATACATATTAGATCGAGTTTTTTTTTTCTTTTTCTTTTTCTAAGTAGGTAGATTAAATAAATAAGAAAGAACAATATTTTCCTGCCGAGTGAGTAGCATGATCTTCTACTACCCACCAATGAAGGGGAGATGAGAGAATTTTTATTTTTTCCCCCAAAAAATAGCTACTTAGTAAAAAATTTAGCCGTGGGCACAGGAATTCGAATCCTCAAACAAATATAGAGGTATTATTCTCATGAAACTTAAGAGTCTTATTAGAAAGATCCCAAAAAGTTGAATCATAAATTTGTACTTTAACCAAAAACAGCCATTATTTAGATAAGAGAGAGAGAGAGGGGGGAGAGTTGGGAAATGGATTGTCAAAGTTCAAAGGGCGCCCTCAAATGGAGTGCGCACGTGGATCCACCATGGAAGACGTGACTGTTCACCCTGAAAATTCATATTCTGCATTTAATTTAATGAAGATTGTTTACTCTCAGCCCATTACCTAATTTATATAATGCGTTTTCTCCACAAATTTTGGTTCAAGAAACCCCAAACAAACAACTGCTTCCGTCTCCTCTAATCACTTCCACTCTGTTTTCTGCAATTTTTTTTTATACCCATTTGTTCGTTTCTGCTATCTGTGGGTTCTTGAATCCAAAGTTTGTGGAGAAAAAGAGAAACCCATTTTGGCAAAACGAAAAAAGAAATGAAGAAAATGAGTTTGTAGACTATAGAGTAGATAAAAGCTAATAAACTAAGGGAAAAAGGAAAAAGGGGATTAGAAAGCTTTTGTGTGTCGATACTCCATTATCAGTAGAAAAGCAAACCGGTGATACCCTTCTGGATCTTCATCTTTATCCAACACCATAATCTCAAGGTTCTGTCCTCTCTCTCTGCTCTTAGTGTTTGATTTTGTTTGATTCTCTGTAACCCATTTTCTATAGTCTTCACTTTTGAAGAGAAATGAATCGAATATTGTGAACGACGGTTCAATTTCAAAGCCATTTTTAATGGGGTATCGGAATCTTTTGCCATCTCCGTGTCCGGATTCGAGGGGTTTGGATATTTGACACATTTCAAACTCAAAACCTACTTTCCAACTCTAATTGAATTTGTTTGAACTGGGTCAATCACTACCCATGTGTTTGTGGACCGTGGAGAGAGAGTGAGGAGAATGGGAGTTGCTCTTCTTGATTGATTCTGCTCTACTTTAATCTTTTATTTTTCTTTTTTATATGATCTTTTCAATGGTGCTCGATCGGATCGATCCCACATCCCACACTGTCTTTCTAGTGTCAATTATTAGTTTTATAATGATTAAAAATGTAATCTGAAACTTGTTGACGAGAGAAAAAGAGAAAAATAATAACAGAAAACAGGAGAAAGAGAGAGAGTTTTGTCTATATTCCCAATAATCCGTCCAACCAGACAGTTCATAGTGCTTTCAATCACAGCAATGAAAGAAAGATTACTAAGCCTTTTCACAGTCCTCACTCTCTCTCTCTCTCCAGACAATTCCCCATCTTCATCCCTTTGTCGTTGTGCCTTATTCTGCCTGTAATATATTATCTTTCCTGTCTCTTTCCGATTCTCTCTCCTGGGTGTGGCCTTTTTCCCAGTTCTGAGCTCACCCTTTGGAGTAAACGCTCTGAATTTTCCAGTTGCCGACTGTATTCCTTTTACTGTTGGCGGTAATGAACACTGTCTTGGAGTTTACTGTTTCCAGCTCGGATTTGATTTGGTTTTCCAATTGATTCTTAAAGTTTACCTTTGAAGTTCAATCAGTGGGCAGAGGGTGTAGTTTTGTTGATCTTTTGCAGATTGATAGGTTTTTTGGGGATAGGGGCCTGGTGATGATTCACTAAGATCTGTTCTTCAGTAGTTTGCCCTTTTTTCTTCGCTAAACTTCACATCTTTCTCTACTTTCTTCTCTCTGCTTTGGAGCTGCAGGTTTTGGCTTGCTATTAGCTTGGAGACTGCCTGACTCCATTGGAGCTTGAATTGAATAAATGAAAGGAGCTGTGCTAGTGGCTATTGCTGCTTCCATTGGAAACTTTCTACAAGGATGGGATAATGCCACCATTGCTGGTACTCCTTCTCTATAAATCCTTTCCTGATTTTATAGTTAGATTAATTGTCCAAACGCACAAGTTTTACAGTCTAGAGCTTGAAGATTTCTCTCAGTTTCATGTTCCAACTTTATTCAATGGCTTTTCTTTATATCAGGGGCTATGGTCTACATCAAGAAGGACATGGCCCTGAAATCTTCAGTTGAAGGTCTTGTAGTGGCCATGTCTCTCATTGGAGCCACGATCATTACGACATGCTCGGGACCAGTATCGGACTGGCTCGGTCGACGCCCGATGCTGATACTGTCGTCGCTGCTTTATTTTATAAGTGGTTTGATCATGTTGTGGTCACCCAATGTGTTTGTACTCTGCATAGCTAGGCTGTTGGATGGATTTGGGATTGGTCTTGCTGTTACTCTTGTCCCTGTTTATATTTCTGAGACTGCCCCATCGGATATAAGAGGATTGTTGAATACTCTCCCTCAGTTTACTGGATCGGGCGGCATGTTCATATCTTACTGTATGGTATTTTATATGTCGTTGTTGGTCGCACCGAGCTGGAGGTTAATGCTTGGAGTTCTTTCGATCCCATCTGTCCTCTATTTTGTACTAACTGTATTTTTCTTGCCCGAATCTCCTCGGTGGCTTGTTAGTAAAGGAAGGATGCTCGAGGCGAAAAAGGTTCTCCAGAGACTCCGTGGCATAGAGGATGTTTCAGGTTCATGTCTGCATTCCTTACTTCGATTTCTGATTTTCTGTGGTCTTTTACCTGTGATTTCAAACAGATTATTATTGTCATAGTTAGACCATATGGGAACTAAGTATTCTCTTTTAATTTACCTCAATATTCTCCTAACATTGGTCTTGGGTTGGGCAAAGCCTTCTCGGAAATTAGTGAGGTAGGCCATGAGCATAGTACAAGAGGTGGCCCCCCCATGATACCTCGGTTAGCCAGGCTCTATGATAGGCAAAATTTTGAATTTGAAACCATAAATTTGACGGTGCGAAAATCTAAATAGCAGTGGCATCAAGAGCTGAAGAGTGAAAAGACACAGAGGTCCCGTTTGATAATAAATTAATGATTTAGTTTATAGCTTTCAGTTTTTTAAAACTATGCTTGCTCACTATTTCTTTGATATCTTTTTCACCATATTTGAATTTTGAAAATGTTTTTTGAAAAGTAGATAAGAAAGGAAAGAAACACGTAGGTGAAAGTAGTGTTTATAAGCTTAGTTTTCAAAATTAGAAAAGTAAAAACAAAATGGTTATCAATTAGGACCAGAAATATCGTCATTTTGCCTCGTGTTTTCACTTGAAATATTCATATTCTCAATTGTGTTTGTTGAAATCCTGTACGGCCTCCTTGCACTAAATGTAACTTTGGAACTTTGATGATTATTGTTAGCCGTAGAAATGAATGCTTTGAGTTTATAAGATAAGTGGTGCAATTTCGTACATATTCAAAGCCATTCTTTTCTTACAAGTCTTCTTCAACAGGTGAGATGGCTTTGCTGGTTGAAGGTCTTGGGATTGGAGGTGAGACATCCATAGAAGAGTATATAATAGGCCCTGCTGAAGAATTTGAAGGAGAGACAGCTGATCAGAAAGATAAAATCAAGCTATATGGACCTGGAGAAGGCCTATCTTGGATTGCTAAACCCGTCACGGGTCAGAGTTCTCTCGTGCTAGCATCCCGGCAAGGAAGTTTGGTCAATAAAAGTATGGCTTTTATGGACCCGCTCGTCACCCTCTTTGGTAGCGTTCATGAGAAGCTCCCTGAGTCTGGAAGCATGATCTTTCCAAATTTTGGCAGCATGTTCAGCACGGCTGAGCCTCACCTGAAAAACGAGCAGTGGGATGAGGAGAGCCAGAGAGGTGATGACTACGCATCAGAGGCTGCTGGGGTGGACTCGGACGACAATCTGCATAGTCCGCTGATTTCACGTCAGACGACCAGCATGGATAAAGACATAGTTCCCCCTCCTTCTCATGGCAGTATCTTCAGCGTGAGGCGTCACAGCAGTCTGATGCAAGGAAATGTCGAGGCAGTTGGCAATACTGGCATCGGTGGGGGGTGGCAGTTGGCTTGGAAATGGTCCGAGAAAGGAGAGGATGGAAAGGAGGGTGGATTTAAACGTATTTATTTGCACCAGGAGGACATTCCGGGGTCTCGACGTGGATCTATTCTTTCACTTCCTGGTGGAGATGTTCAAGCAGAGGGTGAGTTCATCCAGGCTGCAGCTTTAGTTAGCCAGCCTGCTCTTTTCTCTGAAGATCTTAAACGTCAGCACCCGGTCGGCCCTGCAATGGTCCATCCATCTGAAACCGTTTCAAAGACTCCCGTATGGTCTGCTCTTCTCGAACCAGGTGTTAAGCATGCTCTGATCGTCGGAATTGGAATCCAGATACTTCAGCAGGTACTTAATACTTCCTATATTGATTTTACTTCATTGCTGAACATCATTTTCTTGTTGGTTTCAAGTGAATATAAAAGCAAAGCAAAGTTGGTATCAACTTGCTAGTATCTTGTTATGTTCTCATATTTACAGGCCCATTGCCCCTGATTTCTCTTGCAGTCCAATTGTTAGATGCCCGTTTCAAGTAAAAGTCGAAGTAGTCGAATCTTACGTGTTTATTGTTTGAACTCATTTGCAGTTTTCCGGGATTAACGGAGTTCTTTACTACACTCCTCAAATTCTCGAAGAGGCCGGTGTCGAAGTTCTGCTGTCAAATATGGGCATTGGTTCTGAATCTGCATCATTCCTGATTAGTGCATTCACAACTTTCTTGATGCTTCCCTGTATAGGAGTGGCCATGAGGCTCATGGATATTTCAGGCAGAAGGTAATTTTTATATTTTCTTTCCTATAAATAATATCCTTAGATGATAACCATGTCTTCTTTTTCCTAATTTCAAATCTTATCATTCATTATCAACATTTTGTTTGTTTTATAATATAGATTTTAAATTCTTAATCAAGCTTTAGAGATTAAAAGAATATTTCTTTTATTTATTTTGTATTTGAAGTATGATTATTTATTTATTTATTATTATTATTATTATTTGAGATGGTAAAAAAAACAAAACGAAGAACATTATTAAATAATTTATTTTTTAAAAAAAGGGAAAAGACAATATTGTTATCAAATGAGAGGAGTTTTTAGAGAAGAATTTTGTCTAATATTACTATAAACTTGTTGAATGTCCATCTATTTTTGGTCTATAAGTCTGTTCACTTAGAAATTTAGGTCTCTGCAGACAGCCTTGTGCAAGTAACCGAAATTGTAATTGCTAGCGACATTATACATGTTTAGTTCTAAGTTTATTTTTCAAATTCAAGCTAACGTAGCTCTTATGCAGGCGGCTCTTACTCGCTACACTCCCTGTCCTAATAGTATCACTCCTTGTTCTCGTCGTGTTTGAGCTTGTTACAGTGAGCTCTGTCGTCAATGCAGCAATCTCGACCATATGCGTAGTTGTTTACTTCTGCATCTTTGTGATGGCATATGGTCCAATTCCAAACATCCTTTGCTCGGAGATTTTCCCGACAAGGGTGCGTGGCCTCTGCATTGCCATATGTGCAATGGTATTCTGGATTGGCGATATAATCGTAACCTATTCGCTGCCTGTGATGCTTGGTGCAATAGGTCTTGCTGGTGTCTTTGGCATCTACGCAGTCGTGTGTGTAATTTCATGGATTTTCGTCTACTTGAAAGTCCCGGAAACCAAAGGCATGCCACTCGAGGTCATTGCCGAGTTCTTCTCCGTCGGCGCGAGACAAGCTGTTAAAGGTGCTGATAATTGAGTTGAGTTGTGGAGGATGCAAATTGGCAGTCTCGAGTCGAAACAGAAACTTCATCTGCTGCTTCCCAGTTTGGAAGTATATCTGTTCCTTGCTGCATTAAGAAAGGAAGAACAGAAGGAACGCATAGCAAACCCACATTCTTTTCCTCTTTTGTATTTTGCTTTAAATTTATGTATTTTATATGCACCAATGTACTGGAGATTGTTACTGGTTTAGATGCTTACAACCTGGTTTTTCCTCCTAATCTTGTGAGGCTTTGGTTTGATTTTTTCTAACGTGAGGGTGAAGGTGAGATATCGAATCTTCCACTTCAATAAAGATAATCGGTGTCTTATCCACTAAACTATACTTAAGATGACTTAGACTTGATTTTAATATAATTTGGAGTACATATATTGTATTTCAGACAGTAACTTATAAAATACATTCTTGGCATCATTATAAACCTTCTGATAACTGAGAACTTATATAGCTTACGTAAACATGACTTAAATGGTTAGATATTAATTACTACCAAATTACTAAATGTACGGTTCAAGGGAAACACTACCAGATTGCTGATGTCCATACAAGTTTATTAAAATCGATCCACAAAATGTATCATTTCATAAAATAAAAAWAAAAAATTGTCGATACAAGGTCAGGAACAGTGGATATAATGGTAGAAACATAACTTAGATAAGAATTCTGCAGCTGAAACTACTATGAAGGAGAAAATTTCTTACTTCTGTTTCTCACAGGTCGAATCTCACATTCCATCTACCATTAACGTTTGCATTTAGTGTCCAATTGTTCTCCCTGATCTGCAGGTATGGTACCTGTATGAAAGCAGAAGCAGAAAGTGAGAGTTATAATTTTTTACTTTTGACTGTAAGATGAATTTGGATTATAATTTAAGATTAGGTTGTGTTTTTAGTAAAAATGCAATACAGAACAATGATTGCTTAATAATGTAACGTGTAAAGCTGTGTCATGTTAGGAATGATAACTTCTCTCTCTCTCTCATTTTTTTTCCTCCTTTTTGTCTGTGCCCATTTTTTGTATCTTTCTGTTTATTAGAAACAGAAACTTTCATAAGATAGAATTTTTTTTTTCAAAGAAAACTCCAAAAAGAAGCTAAGAAACAAACTAGTTTTACAATGTGACATCTACTCCTTTTAATGCCGTAAAAAGTCTTCCAAAATGAGTTCCTTAATGGCCCTAAACCAAAGACTTATGGCTTTGGGATTCATACGAAACCACCACCCAAATCCAAACTCTTTAAAAAGCAAACATCAACAAGAATTGTGTGAAACTTTCAATATTGGAGCATCTTTAAGAATACCAACCAAAAGAAGTAAACCAACCAACCGAACTAGCAAAATCAACTCCTTAGTTTCGTGCCAACCTAGAGCTCTGATACAACTTGTTGGGATTTTTAATGTGTAGTCAAAGTATTTTAATGTGAAAAATAAAGCACAAGCATATAAGAAAAAAGTAACGACACCAACATTTACATGGAAATCCCTTTACTATAAGGTCCGAAAAACTTCCAACGCAAAGATAATGAATTACAACCATTTATTCCCTTGTCGCAACTAGAGGAGTGGATATGATGTCAATCACCGAAATACAAGCAGCTAGAATCCTGACTAATAACTGGTACACAAAATACCCTTCATCTACAAAGATGGAACTCAAAAGGAGAGGTCACACACTGGTGAAGACGACTCAAAGAAACCAAACTGAAAGAGAAATGATTGATTTGGCAATAAACTGGCAAAGAAAACAACATTTTTTTCTTCTTCAGCTGCCACACGCACGGACTGAACCTCTTCAAACCAATCACAAAACAGTATCCATTATTTGCCTCTCTTCCCTCTCTGTTTCTTCTCTCTAAGCCTCAACCTCACACTGCTTCTCCCTCTCACTTTTTCTCTATCGGAAAAAGTCACATATTTATATGCCCAGCCAAAAACTTGTATTGGAAGCCATTTTCCTATTTCTTCCCTAACAAGCAAAAAGCCGAAATGGGCTTATGGCTTTATGGGCTCTCCACTACGAGGCCAAATCCAACAAGAATTAACACCATTTTTTGGTTAGCTAAGGAAAACGAAACAACAAAATATATTTGAACAATAAGATCACATTTCTTCTTCTAATGTATTCTAGGTAGAGACCTACAATGAATGACTTTACTTGAACAAAATCTGTTCTATAAGTTGTATAATGTCCTTGAGTTTTAAGGTCAAATACAAATCTACCAAAGAGTAAGACTGTCTTCTTATTATAAACCGATGACAACCATTTTCTTTATCCAGCTCTCCAAAAACGCTCTGATGTTAAGTTGAGAGTGCTTCCATTTCATGAGTTTGCTAAATATCTTCTCTACTATACTATCAAGCTCTACGACCATCTAAGACAAATCAACTACCAAGTGGTGAAAAAGAAGGAGATAGAGGGTCCTCTTTCCTCAAGCCACAGAAGCCAACACTTCATTCCTAGTCTTGCTATCAAGGAAGACAGACTACTAAGACGTTGTGGATAGACATAAAGTTCAATCTTGTGTCTAATAAGTCCATGAATTTTAAAAAATGTCGAATAGGTACCTAATAGACTCAAAATGAAAAGTTAACACTTAATTCAGGAACCTATTGGACTAAAATTGTAATTTTACCTAAGATTTAGTATCGAAAACAAATGTAGTTATTTTGTGTAAGACAAGATATATGACTTGAACTGACCACTACCAAAAAAAAAAAAAAAAAAAAGAAAGAAAGAGGAAAGAATAAATATACCTTGTCTGACACTTCATATCCCAATTTGACTCTTACGTCTTGTGCCTTCTGGAAATTAAGTATGCCCAAAGAAAATTCAGCAGCTCCCTTGAACTTAGTCTGCCAAAGCCAACGAAACAATGGGACAAATTGGTTGCAGAAGAAAGCAGAAGAAAATATCTTCTTTTATTTTTTTTTGGGTTTCTACACTCTTTTGAGACATAACTACTCAGCACTAACCTCCTTGAATTCTTTGTCAAGATAAGATTGTCCTTTGATGGTAAACCTTAACAGACCATCAGTTGTCACTGGAAAAGACATTTTCCCACGACCAAGATAATGGAGTTTCTCATACTTGTCATACCGCACTCCTATACTTGCGCTTGCTGACAACTGCATTCGATTTACAAAACCTTGATAAAAAATAATATCACACACAACATTGACTTGTTCAAAATATGAATTGGTTCCACAGAGAAAGCCTTACATCAGGGTAAAATTGCCTTAAGGAAGCAGCAAGCAGACTCGGTTCTCCAACTCTTGTATCTAACTCTCCATGTACCTTCGAGGAGTAAGACGAAAAGGCATCTTTGTTAGAAATGAGGCCTATAAAATTAGTTATGGTTCTCAATCAGCACAACAAAATCCTCCAAGATAGTTTTCCAATCAATTTGAGCATCTGGAATTGTCTGATTCAGTATCCAGTATCATAAACGGTCGTAGACGCTCATCTGTCTATAACCCTTCTTTTATCCAGTCAATGTCGCATTAAACTTTTTAGTCAATAGCTCCCGTGCTTGGTCAATTGATTGAAGTACAGGTACTTCGGTCGGTTGCTAAAGAATTTAGAAGCTCTCTGTGCTAAAATTGCATCACCAGAATCAACAGCAGGTATTGGCAGACAAAACCACTAACATTGCTCTCAAGAGATAAACCATCAGATAAAAATCGCTCAAATTACACACACTTGCGAAATTGGCAAAATGAGTGATTATACTATGGCCAGTGAATAGAACATGGAAAAAAGAAAGGATGAAGTGGAAATGGAGTACCTGCAAGAAAATGTTGGAGTCGAGAGGAATCTTCTCCTTGGCGTGGATTCTTAAGGCTCTGGTGTCGCCGGCATATCTGAGAGAAGTCTCCATGGGCGAAGCTGGAGCGGCACAGAATGTGAAACGGAATCGTATCCCTAACTTATGAAGCTGCCATGGCGGCGTCGGTTTGTGAATTTGTTTAAATCCAAATCCTTGCTCTGCACAATTTTATCGGTTTCCCAATTTGTGTGGGATGCCAAACTATGGCTATTGGTTGAAAATTGAAACCAAGAAGCCGAGATTTACTTGGCTGATGCCTCACTTTTTTTTTACCCTTTTCTCCTCAATTCAATGGGGTATTTTTAATAACAAAAACATCTTGATATTTTCCAATCTATCAAATTTTTTTTTTGGTTATTATCAATAACATACCTCACAATAATTGATAAATTTTTGTCAAAACGAGCATAATTCAACGATAATTGTTGGATTTTAGTGACAAATTTTTTACTTAGTAGTGGAAGGTTCTTCCAATTTATAGCTGCGGGTGGCTAACTAGAAAGGATGATGGTTTTGAGCACAAGGACACGTTAGGCTATACGGAATTCTGACGAGTGAGGCAGACATCCCTGACACTCGATGGATGGTGCCTCCTTATGCCAGTATGTCTCCCTCCAGTTGGAGGTGCAGGTTACCGCCCCCGACGTTCTCTTCGTACAGCTCTTGGGGCGACATGTCCGTACGCACGCATAGTGTACATTCCCAACCACCAATGGTCTCATGCCTAGCTGTCACCCTCAACCCTTGACAGGTACCTTGCTCGAATTTCTCCTTCAATATATTTTATTTTAGTTATATTAAATATAAAATCTATAATTTTTATAACTAACATACTCAAGAAGTATATTAGGCAAACTAAATATATCAATGATCTATTCCATTTTAGGTATATGACTGATATATCTAAGATGAAGTATATTGCTGAGATATATAATATTGATATTAGGTATATCCACGAGAGGGTGTAACCAATTTTTTTTTAGGCATTGGGCTTCATTTTTTTGCTATATTTGCAAATTAGAAAAGTAATTGATATATTTGATTGCTATTGGCCCATTCAATTTTTACTTTAATTTAGTCTGATTTGGATAAGTATTTTACAATATTTTTTGGAATTGTATTTTACTTTAATTTAATTGATGTTTTAGACATCAATGTAGTTTTAGGAAAAGATATCATTTAGAGGTGGATGTGGATATTTGTTAAGAAAAAAGAAATTATGCTGAAGTTTGGATTAGTTGGATGGTAAAACTCACACCAATATAAGAAATGAATAATCATAAAACAAGATAAAATTAGGCACTGGGATTTGGTTCTAGCCACACACACTCCAATGTTTAAGTAAGAATTGAAGTTTTATGTGAAGCGTAATAGAGAGTAGAGTTATGTAGTGTACCTCTATTATCAGTGTCTTTTTCCTTTATATAGGGAAGAGTTCCTAAGAGTAGTAGGATATTTTTTCCTCATATCTTTCAAATCGTTATTTGAACTTCTTGGATAAGGAAAGATATCCTTCTCTCCTTAGGATATCTTCTTCTTGTTGAACGATGGGGCTTTCAGGAACTTTTTCTTCGATGTTGCTGGACTTTTGGCATTCTTCGAATTGGAACAATAATCAAATTGGGCTAACTAGCCAAATTGCTAGGTTGGTAGGTAACGGGCTGGTTGGCCTCAACCTAGCGTCGAGGCACCGAGCTGGAGTGTCAGGGCGCTTGGGGCGTGGCCTTGCCGTAAGCTCAAAGCTAGTGCAATTCTGTGAGTTATTTTTCTTTTGTGAGATTTCTATCAAGTCTTGGAGAAGACGCATCCACCATTGAAGCGATGCATGATTTAAGAAATGAGTTCTTTTATGCCTAAGTCTTTTTTTAGTACAACATTGGAGAATCGAACTCACCACCTCTTAGTTGGAGATATATGTCAATTACCACTGAGTTATGCTCGCTTTGGCATGCATAAGTCAATATTGATTGTAAATTGTACTAACTTTTGATTGTTAATCTTATTCTCTGGGTGTAGCTTCGTGGAGTAGGTTGGGAAACCGAACCACGTTAAAATCATTCAATCATGTTTGGCAAATTAAAAAATTGATTTTAGAAAAGATTAAAATCACTTGAAATTGATATACAAAGTCAATGTAGGGGTCCATAAGAATCAAAAAGTCGTGTGTTGAACTAGGTAGATAAAGACAAGTAAGATCGTGTGATAATCCAAGTTGAGGCTGATGATGGGTACAAATACAAATACATGTTACCCTATATACCTATTTAAACTTCTTTGTGCAGTCGTGTGCACTCAATGAAGCAATACCATCCAACTAGAGGACTTTAGTATAAACTTAATCACAGTTTAGTTAGAGCAGATGACCAGTTAAGCTTCAAATAATAGATTCTGTTGATGCTGAATTTCGGATTAGTTGAGGAGGCTCCCGAAGGTGAGCCGTAACCACTAGGTGGTCTTTTCCACACGTGGAGGGATTTGTATGTCCGAACTCCAACACTGATGTAGTGCTCAAAGTGTATTCCAAAAGTTAAGTGTATTCCAAAACTTAAGTTAGAACTCAGGTCGGAGGAGAAAAGTTGAAGAACAAGAGGTTGGGGGCAAGACATTATGTACCTTTAGAAAGGAGTTTGACTTCAATATTTATAAGGGAGTGATATGGCGAGGCGAGCTTCGAATAATCCAAACAGTACTATTAGAACAAGTATCATTCGTTGACTTTAAGGATACTCTATTGTATCGAAGCCATACTTCTGCCGAATGTTAGCGCAAATATCCTACCGGAAAACTCTGCCCAAGAAAGTGGACAAACTTAACTGCCTATCCTTTTGGTATGTAGCCTTTTCTTCTCCCAACTGGCCGAGCTTGGACTAGATGCCACACGACATGTGGGAGAGATCCGAGTGTGCAATAACATGATCATGTAAGAGGTTCGATGCAAGACATTACATAAGCTTTCATTCCAGAGGAGGTTACTAAAGCCATGCATGCACCAAGCGGTACCAAAAGGAGAAGGAAGTCAGAGCATAAAGAAAGAAGATGATGATGCAAGTGCTAGCCAAAAATCACTATAGTAACTGCCACTCGGGGAGTTTCCAATCAGAACTTCTCTTAAGTTCCACAGGAGTACAAATATAGAGGAATGGGGGAGTAAAGTGAAACTAATATGGTAGGATGGCTAAAACGAGCATAGCTCAGCGATAATTGACATATTTTTCCAACCAAGAGGTTGTGAGTTTGATCCCTCACCCCATATGTTATACTAAAAGAATAAAAATAAAGGGTAGAATGCTTTGATGCTAAATAGGAAGAGAAATCATAAACAGCCAATAGCATTGTTGAATCAATAAACTTTTGATGAGAGGTACTTTGTTCCTAAATCTTTCCGTAAGTTGCAAACTTTGAAACAAGAGAAAGCAAAAGGTTGCACTAGTCTTTTACATAGGGATGCTCATATGTTGCTTGAAATGCCTAATCTATATGAGGAAGAAAATGTTGCCCTAAACTGATGATTCTTCAATGATTGTTAAGCGAGTTACATTGATGTTGAACATTGTGCTAATGAGTAAGAGACGATGTAGATGACTTATAAACGTTGAGAACTTAGTAGTAATTTCAAAGGAGAATTTTCAATGTATCATCTCTTATGTCGGTATTGAACCCGTAGACATGTGAAATATCAATGATTAGGGCTTTCTGCTGCCCCTAGGTTACTTTGTAACGTCATACATAGCCTACTTAGAGTCTTTGTAAGACACTTTTAAGATTAATAAAATTGTGCTTTGGGCCTTAAAAAGAAAGAAGAAAAAAAAATTTGTGACCAACCTAAAAATATTTAGTGTTATGACCACGAAGAAACGACTGAATCCCAACTACGGATATATAAGAGCCTACCCTATTCTCAAACTCTCTACTAAACTTCACCAAGCCCACATTTGTGTGATGCCTAACTTGAACATAGCTTCATATAGCTTCATATGTTCATATATCATCAACCAAAAGATTGAAAGTTTAATTAACCAGACTTGGAAAAATAAGAAATAAAAGTTGTTCCTCTAAAAAAAAGGAATAGCTTGATAGATATTACAAATATTTCTAATCAAAAGATCATAAATTCAAATTTTTTCTACGTTACACTATGTTTCTTATTAAAATAAATTGATACATTAAAATGAAATTTAAAATTTGCCACCATAAAATAGATTAAACTATCTTGCTCATTTCCTATAGGACAGAGGTAGGATGAGAGATCCTATTTATTCAAGCCCTAGGCATGCCAGGAAACTGAACTTTACAAAATGAAATGAAAATATTATACCACCGATGCATCCACGAGAAAAAGATAAAAAGAAACAAAAAATAAAATTCTTAATGGGGGTAGCCAGACCACCCTCTATTCCAGTTCTATTCTTCCTAATTGGATCAAAATTTAAAATTCGAAACCTTGGCAAGTCATTAGTTTACAGGTTCATAATTTAGAAGATAACGAAATGCTCTAAATAAATCCACAGCAAAATTCTGAATCAGAAACAGACATTTGGCCAATCTCAAAGAGTGTTGTGTAGTCATGAATATGAACATGCCAACACTGCCTCTATTGCCGAATCCGTTATATTTCGTCAATGAACTCGAGAAGATCGTCGACTTCCTGCCTCAAGGTTGTAATTCTTTGCTGCTGTGGAGCAAGCCTGTTCTCAATTTCGCGCCCTCCAAACTTCTTCTCGTAGCAGTCCACGACCGTCGTGTGTTTCACAACAAGTCTCTCCTGCAAATCTCTCTCCTTGGCCACCAACTCTTCCACCTGCACAAGCATCAACGCATTACTTAACAAATATTGTTCAGTTCTAAGCTAAATGGCAGCCACCCCCAGCATCCCCGCATCCAAGATCAATTTGAGTACATATCGCACTGTATTACGTTTATGAATGCCTACATTAATGGTTAATTTGATGCGAGGTAAACAATAAGTGATTGAACCTTGGGTAATATCTGGTTAGCCTGCTGGGACGACTGCAAGAATGCCATCAAAGGCTTCAACTCTCTTGAAAGCTCTTTCAATGAAGCATCAGCTGCTTTACGAGCTGCTTTGCAAGCCGGGACATCACCAGTTCGAGAAAGATCATGCAATGATGCTTCCAATTTCTCATGTATGGTTAAGCATCTGTTGATAATGTTCTGAACTTGTTGAATCACTGTT